CCTGCAGGGATACTGCTCCCTATGAGGGTGGATTTTAACAATTACACCAGAAAAATGTTTGCAAAGCACTTGCCACAATGTCTGGCTGAGGTATGAAATAATAATAATTACCATAAGCATTTCAAGCCCTTCGCCCAGGAAACTTGAGCTGAGAAAGACCCAATTTCTGCCAATACCACTGTCAACTTGGAGGCTGCCTCAATGTACATTGTTATTCAAATTAATAATTAACTTTACTCTTTAGAAATGGGTCAGGTAAATGGGTAAAACTTATTCTTAACTTCTTATTAATTTAAATTTTCAGGTAACCCTTTTGTCCAATTATTTCCCCTGCCAGGTTGTCTCAAAAAAGGAAAGGAAAAAGGATGTTTGTTTCATTTGTGGATGAATTCTTGAATTCCATATGGTGCTGGTGGTGAGGGCCTGGTCATCCTGAGGGGTTGGGGGCGGCAGCAGAGACTAAGTTCATGGGCAGGGGGTCACGCAGGTGCTCTGGACCACTGGAGCAGGCACAGGCTCCCAGACGTGAAAGGCTTTCCTTGGTCTGGTGAATCAACCTCACTTATGTGCCATAATCCATCTAGTTGTAAAATGAGGCTAAAAAAAGAATTTAATCTGAATTCTTTGACCATAAAGGTCGACAGGTCTTTCTTACAAGGAAAGGCTTTATTTTCTACATATATTTGTATATTTGTGGATAAGGTCACATTTCCATTGTTTCCTCTTAGTAGGCCAGTTACTGAAACAACAAACCAATTTTAAGTGGTAGCTAACTGGTGGTCCTTTTCAGAGGCAATGGGAAAACACAGCTACTATTTTCATGATAAAGTCACTGTCATACATTATTCCCAGTGGCTGCCGTTAGAATATATCTTTCATTTTAATTGTAAAAGAAAAGGCGAATCTCCCTGATACACAAACTCAGGTTTGGAGAGAACTTCCAAAACCCCAGTGTTCTCGTGTAACTTATTCTAGTCATGGAGATGGGGTAAAGGCTTCATCTTTTCTGTGAAGATGGGCTTATGGGAACTCAGTTAATTGGGATTTTGAGGATGACCTTTTTTCTTGGGTTCTACCTTGAAGGGTCAAGGTAACAAGGTTTTCATGTGGGGAATTTCAATTTCAATTTAAAACACATTTGTGAGGAGATATTTCAAAATGTTAGGTTATAGTCTGACATAATTGGGTAGTTTAGACCTGGACAATAATTTACTCTAGGATTATTTTGTGGAAGTTTCCAGATGGCTTAAATATCTTGGGCCAGGTATTAGAGCTTAGCACATGTTTAATATATAGGTGATGATGAAGATGTAATTTCTGGTCTCAGCTCCGTCCTCTTACCCTAGGCTGGTAACACACTTTCTCTAATCAAGGATGACAATACCATGTGCCTTATGTATCTCACAGAAATGCCAAGGGGGACAAATGAGATGACATGATGAAATAACTTGAGCTCTTCAGAAAGAAGGACTCTCTAAGCATAAGTTTTAAAACATTATATTCAGAAAATTATTTGCAAACGACCATGAACCTCTTCGAGCCCATATTCTAAACTCATCCCTTCCAAAAAAAGCTTTTCCTGGGAACTCCCTGGTGGTCAGGACTCTGCACTTTCACTGCTGAGGGCCCAGGTTCAATCCCTGGTTGGGGAACTAAGATCCTGCGAGCCGCGTGGCGTGGCCAAAAACTTTTTTAAAATTTAAAAGAAAAGGAAAAAAAGCTTTTCCTGATTAACCTCACCCATTCCCGTCACTTCTTTATTCTTTTAGCACCTTGGTGTTACATCCGCATTGTATATTTCACTCTTTTTTTTTTTTTTGCGGTACGTGGGCCTCTCACTGCTGTGGCCTCTCCCGTTGCAGAGCACAGGTTCCGGACACGCAGGCCCAGCGGCCATGGCTCATGGGCCCAGCCGCTCCGCGGCATGTGGGATCTTCCCGGACTGGGGCACAAACCCGCGTCCCCTGCATCGGCAGGCGGACTCTCAACCGCTGCGCCACCAGGGAAGCCCTATATTTCACTTTTGATCTATTGCATTATAATGTCATCTATCCAGCTGCTCACCTTAGAAACTGGGTGCCGTCCTGGCTCCTCCCTATCACCCCAACTCCAGCTAGTGACATAGTCTGATCAGTTCGGTCTGATAAGTTCCGTCTCAGTGTCCCTGGACACAGGGCACTTCCATGGCACTGCATAGCCTCAGCTCCTTGTCCCTTTTCACCTGGTTGTCTGCACTGCCCCACACAGGACTTTATCACTCTATCCCGAGCCCTTTCCAATTCATCCTTCTCTGTGCTTTTGAGAGATCTTTTTAAAACGCAAATAGAATCCTCTCTACTCCCTGCTTAAAACTCTTCAAACTCCTTAGCTCAGCACGTAAAACAGTTCCTTTTCTGGTCTCCAGCCACCATTCTGGCCTTAACTCTCCCCACACTATTCCACCTGCTCCATATTAAAGTTGCCCCAGAGGGAGCGATGCTTGAGTTGAGTTGTGAGGTCCTATAGAAATCAGTCCAAAGAAGAGCTGCCTGTGTTTTCCTGGCTTCTGAGCTTTTGCACATGCTGTTCCTTTTGCCTTCAATGTCTTCTCCCTACCTAATAATTCCTGATGGTTTTCAAATTTTAGTTCAAGTATCACCTCTACCAAGAAGACGTCAAGATCCTCTTCTGATCCCTTTCTACATCACTTCAGTGCTCATCCACTGTGATTTCACTGAATGATGTGCATGATGTTGTAAAAACTGCATCATTCTGTATTAAAACCATTCACTGATCTTGTCTATTCCCATAAACTATGGGTTCCTTGCAAGGCAGTACTATACTTTTTTACTTTGCATTATGAGCATCTAGCATTGAGTCAGACACACAGTATGTCCTCAGTAAATTTCTGCTGAGTGAATGGATGAAATTATTACTCTGCATGGGTGACCAAGGATCAGCAGATAATCGAAAGTTGCAGTGACTTCAGGCCTTGTGGATAACCAATGACTCAAGAAGTCTATACCATCATGGTCAAAACCAGACCACTATATTTGGTCTCCAATATCATTTATAGCTCCTGATTTTTACTAACTATGTATATATTTCAGTTTTCCACATTAACAAGTCATTTCTTTGTTAACTGAAAATAATTTTCTTGGTTGAGATTACTCTTGACAAGTCTTTTTCAGGAAAATTCTTCCCTCTTCTTTTACCCCATCCAAGCCATAAAAATGTTTAAACACAGAGTACTCATAAATAAAGTGCCATAGAGTTGAACATCCCAAAAAAGGCAAATTAAAATGTGCTATTTATTTACCATCAGATGGACCTGGGGTGCCCACAGCTACAGAATCTCAGGATTGGAAGGGCCCTTGCTTATTGTTGGAGAGGAACTTACTCTCTTGCCCCCCTTTCTGGTAGCTGCTTCTAACAACAGGCATGAATAGACAGTGACCCATTCACAGAGGGAAAAGAAAAGTGTTCCTATACCAGACACCTAGAGTCAGAGCAGCTTTCACTCAACCAAGTTCTGTGGCCCAAACAAGGGAGGTTAAGATTTCCATTCAGCAAGAGCATCAGTATACCTGCAGTGGTGCAGGTAAAACACTCTGTCCAGTGTCTAGAAAGAGCATCTTTTTTTTTTTATATAAATTTATTTATTTTATTATTTACTTATTTATTTATTTATCTTGGCTGCGTTGGGTCTTTTGCTGCTGTGCATGGGCTTTCTCTAGTTGCAGTGAGCGGAGGCTACTCTTCGTTGCAGTGCACGGGCTTCTCATTGCGATGGCTTCTATTGTTGCGGAGCATGGGCTCTAGGCACACGGGCTTCAGTAGTTGTGGCACGCGGGCTCTACAGCACAGGCTCAGTAGTTGTGGTGCACGGGCTTAGATGCTCCGCAGCATGTGGGATCTTCCCGGACCAGGGCTCGAACCCATGTCCCCTGCATGGGCAGGTGGATTCTTAACCACTGCACCACCAGGGAAGCCCAAGAAAGAGCATCTTTTGAAGCCCCCTGGTAAAACTAACCCCTTGCAACAATTTCCAGTCATTCCCAAGTGCTGGTTCCAGGAATGACCTGGGGTAAGCATGGTTTAATTAGTGAGGGCCGGTGGGCCAGCTGAGCCCCACCAGCTCTCCCAGAGCAACGGGCTCATGTTGTGAGGAGTTGTTTTTACAAGGTCTCTTTGCAGCATCAAAGGTAAGGTACCAATAGTGCAGTAGTTAAGAGTTTGGTTCTGGGGTCAGAGAGGCCTGCGTCAGATCCGTCTTCTGCTACTTGCTAGCCATGTAACCCTTGGACAAGTTAATTGGCCTTTCAGAGCCGTAGTCTCCTTATTTGTAAAATGGGGGAAAATAGCACCTACATCTGAGTCCCGTATGCCTGGAACACGAGTGGTCAATTCATAGACGTGATCACTATTACTGGCTATTCATAGTAATCCAAAGTAACAAAAACCTATTATGATTCCAATTCATATGACACCTCGCCCACGTAATTTGCCCAGACTCTAAACATAACATGAAGTAGCAGCCTGACTGAATGAGATTTGGTCAAATGTCCTGCCACCCCATTTAGCGTTGATAATCTAGGTTTCCATTTTGCCTGCAGTTCCATTCTTGCTGTTGTTCTACTCTCGATATTATAAAAGTGATTCCCCTTAAAAAACAAAGAAACTGGAATCAGGAAGCTGTGACGCCAAGAAGCATAAACAATTACTCTAGTGTCCGTGCCCCCGACCTTAACACTCCCCACTGCCCACCATGGTTTGCAGTGCGTTTCCTTGAGGGTTTGGGTGGCCTCACACAGGGCTCTTCAGCTGAATGAGAACGATTCCTAGATTGGCTTACAGAGGCAGCTGGCAGCCTTTCAATTAAATTCTATTTTATAAAGTCTATAAATTTACTCAGAATCATGTTACCAGCTGGTAGGGGGTATATAAAACCACACAGTTCCAGGAGAGAAAAAAAGTAAATTAGACTGAAATTGATCCAAAGGATTTAAAATATGATTTACCTGTAGGCCAGTCCCTGGTTTCAAGTGAAAACCAAAAACAAGTTCAAGGTTCACTATTTTTTCCTCATTTTCTTCAGGTTCACCTACTGAGTCCTGAAACAGAAAACTAAGCACTGTTTATACTACATAGTGTTTTTACTTTTACTTCCCATGTAAAGGAGATGATTTCCCAGCACTAGTTTTTCCATTCTAATCTATTGCTTAATTTTTGGTTATTTTGGAATACACTACAAATTCCAATTACTAAAAGCAAGAGAAATGACATATTAAGCCTTTGAGAACTTTGCCAAATGATTTGTCTCACGCACTGCAAACTGAATGACACCATCTTACATTTTTCACAATGCATCTTGCATTGTGCAATTTTACCCCAGAAATGCACTTCGTCCCTGGAGATGCACAGAGACTTCACCTTGAGAGTTTCACAACACTCAAGATATTTACACCCTAATCCCAAAGAAGAATTATGCAGTTCCTAGAGCATCTGTGGATAGAGGGCCAAGCAGAGGAACAAATGAATCTTCGTGGGCTTAGAGATGGAAAACCAGAGTTGTTGGTGAATGAGAAGAGTTCTGTATATTGTTTGCAAGTATCTACTAATTTTACAACAAACTATGCTGTATGCCTTTAGACTATATTCAAAATAATATGTTAAATATACTAATATGTTATTCAAACAATAAAACTTCTACCCCTCAATGCAAGTGGCAATCCAGAGCTTAGCATGTGAATTCCTTCAGCGGCTTCCATGTCGGACAAAGGTCTCCCGAGCCAGGTGGGAGGCCAGAGGTCCTCACCTACAATGTTAGCACTTATATCCCCTAGCCACTAAGGTGACATGTGTTGTTCTTATCATGACCGTATTGTTAATATTTCAACTTGCAGGGAACAAGGTTGTTCCATTTATGCACATCCTCAGCTTCACTCAAAGGGCCTTTTGTTGGACAGATATGATTAAATTTCACTTCAAACAACGGTTTCCGACATTGGCAAATTTAGGTGTGGATGTGGCTGGTACATATGTCAATAAAAGTAGCATATTCTCAGTAAGAAAAACCTTCCTTACCTTAATGAGTGGTGGGAAGTGAAACAAGTTTAGGTAATCGTGGGTTAACTTCTCAATGGCTGACTGTAAAAAAAAAACACAAGAAACCCACATGACTTTATTAATGATCCGATAATGCCAAGAAAGGATTAAAATTATTGTGCACATATAAAGGCATTCTTTATTTACGTAGTTCACAAAATACCTTGGGGATGTTAATATCCAACATCTATTGAGAATAAACCTGGTTGTTCAAAGTATTATAGGTAGTTTATAATTATTTAATGGAACAGGAAGATATTTTAAAGATGTTTAATCTCAGAGGAAAAAATAAATAAAACCGTTCTTCAAATACCGGTAGAGTATAGTAGTGAGAAGTTACTATTCTACTGTACAGAATGCAGGTGTCACCCCGAGTAATTGTGGGAAAAACAACAAAGAACATGAATATATCACCAGAGGCTCTCATTAGGGCTGAAATCTCACTAAAGGGTTTACTGCATTGAAAGGGCTTTTCTGTGGGTTTGTGTCCAAAGCTCCCTCCCCCAGTGGAGGACAAAGGACTCTTAAAGGAAAGGAGGACAATTTAAATGATGATTCTTGTTTATACTCATCAGGTATAATCCAGCTTTTCTGTGAACTGAGCATATCACATAGAGAGTAAAAAAGTACCGATGTAAGAAAAATTAGATGCATTTTTAAAAAAGTGAAATGAGGGCTTCCCTGGTGGCGCACTGGTTGAGAGTCCGCCTGCCGATGCAGGGGACACGGGATCGTGCCCCGGTCCGGGAGGATCCCGCGTGCCGCGGAGCAGCTGGGCCCATGAGCCATGGCCGCTGAGCCTGCGCGTCCGGAGCCTGCGCGCCGCAACGGGAGAGGCCACAACAGTGAGAGGCCCACGTACCGCAAAAATACGAAAAAACAAAACAAAACAAAAAGTGAAATGAAAGCTGTTGACACATCATCCAATAATGAGCACTTGTTGGATGTTAGGCTCTATTCCTTCTTCAAGGCTCCTCCACAGAGGGCTTCCAGGCTCGGGTGAGGAGGATGCCAAGACAGGCTGAAAGGAACAACCAAGTAGCAAAGGGCAGGTGGACAGACTGTCCACTTTGCAGTTGTATAATCGACCATCTGTAGGCTGAGAGACTCACTCGTTGAGAAGGTGTACAACAATGTCCTGCCTTCCTCAGTGAGACCGCAGAGAATGGAGGGCACTTTCTCACCCTCTGGATGGGTGTGTGTGTGTGCGTGTGAAGCACTGTCACAAGGACCAGGCGGGTTCTTCCAGTCTGGAGGTCCCCTTGCAGCGTCCCATCCCGAATGGCCCAGCTTGAAGGATTCTTTATCCTCGTTGCCCCGAGAATATATGCAGGATGCTCCCAGACCTCCCATGGAAAGGCCCGTTTCCATGACCCTTTCCCCTCACTCTTTCCCTCTCATGTAAGCTTATTTGTCAGAAGTACCCAGGACCCAGCTGAGTTTAAGAGAGTGTCACCTGTGGGCCAAGCCCCCCACCCCTGCCCACCCCTGGGGCGGCCACTGTAATAGGGCCCTGGCTTTGGCAGAGGTGTAGGGCCCGCACGCCTGACTTTTGAGACCCACCCCCCCCAGGGACTGACTGTCTGTCTGTGCACATACAGACTCTTCCAGGAGGGAGTCTGCGGTCCCTGCAGATGCTGGCTACACCCCTCCTTTGGAGCTCAGGACAGACACTCCGCTCCCAAATGCCAAGACTCTGAATTAAGAGAAGTTGTATATACATGTTTTCTCTCTTTTCTGGGATGTCAATTCCTTAAGGGCAGGATCCTTTGTTTCTTCACAGGCCCAGGACTGTGATCAGTAGGCATCCACTGGATTTGCTGAACCATAATCAGTAAGTTTGGACATCGCTTGCTCTAACGATACCAACCAGCACAGAGGGGCACTTAGACTGTCGTAGGCTGGGTCTGGGAATATTTAAATCACCGAGGCTGTTGAGGAGCTATCACAACTGCCACCCCTTTTCCTCCTGACTGCTCCTTAAGGAACGAGTCCTATTTCAAAGGCAGGAGAGGGGAAGGGGAGTTGGGAGCATCTTTTTGGCATCTGCTAAATGGGACAAGATTTATCAAATCTCTCTCTTTGAACCCTGAAACTTCTCTGTACCAGAGAGAAGAATTTTTCCTACTGTAGCCCATCTAAGCCAGCGTTGCTTTTCAGGATGGATTTGCCCACAGCTGGAGGTTGAGATTAAATTATTTACCATCATTTAAGATGTATGTTTATGCATGAGGTTTCCTGCCCATCTTGTGAGAGGGAGCAGGTGGTAGGTTAAGGCTAAGCCATCATCTAAAGGGTGCTGAGGGGCTGTAAGGATGTTCCTTATGTGGATTCAGGGCCCATAGGACAGAAGTGGATGTGTTCTCTTTGGACCTCAGGGAGGATTTCCCTGAAAAAGCCTGGTATCAGTAGCTCCAACTGAGGCAAAGGGGAAAGTTGTTGGCAAGTTGGTAGAGCCTCTGTCAAGATGTGGATTTGGATAAGAAGTTGCTTTTTCTACATTTCCTTCCCTTTAAAAAAAAATATATTTATTTTATTTATCTATTTATTTTCGCCATGTGGGGTCTTAGTAGTGGCCTGCGGACTCATAGTTGGTGGCATGCATGCGGGGTCTAGTTCCCCGACCAGGGATCGAACCCGGGCCCCCTGCATGGGGAGCGCGGAATCTTACCCACTGGACCCACCAGCGAAGTCCCTACATTTCCTTCTTTATTCTATTTCTCTTCTTTCTAACCTGTGTCCACCCTTCCGTCTACCCACACTGGGGTTGAGGAGGTTTGGGGCGTAAACTCGATTTCATTGTAAGATCTCTCTTGAAACAGACCTCTGAATAATAACAAGGTGCACACAGATGCCAGCAAGTGTTATTTGGTTTGAGTAACTAAAAAGCAAAACAAAACAAAGAAACAAAAAAACAGAACTGGTTGCTAAACTACAAAAAAAGCAACAACAACAAAAACAGAGGTTTAGCTTTGAAAGTGTTTAAGGGACTTCCCTGGTGGTGCAGTGGTTAAGAATCTGCTTCCCAATGCAAGGGAGATGGGTTCGAGCCCTGGTCTGGGAAGATCCAGCCAAATAAATAAATAAATAAATAGATTTATTAAGAAAAAAAGAAAGGAAAGCTTTCAAGACTGAAGTTCTGGGGGGAAATGTTAGGATTTCCTGAGAAAATGAGGGATAAGAGTACACATAAGGTGGTGTCTGTTCTGGGTAAAATTTGGAAGATTGCAGACTTCACTCAGTCTGTGGACACGTTCTGGCATCGTTAGGGGTCCCTAGTGGATATCCGGCCTCTCTGGCCTCAAAGCAAGTTGCCTCCTGCTATTGCCGGGTGGGCTGGCAGCTCTGCAGGCGCACACGGCTTTAGCGCCACACGACGCTTCTTCCCACACTGAGGCCCCTCCACAGGCAGAGCCCTGCCGCCAAAACACCTCCTCCCCACACCCTTCACCCACTTACACCTCCTGGCCCTTCAGCTCTCAACTCCATAACTTCTGCACAGAAGCCTCCCCTCAGCCCAACCTCAGCTCTCCTTTGTGGCACTTCTTACAACTGCCATGTTACCATTTTTGCATGATTAATGACTGTCTTCTCCACTAGACTAGAGACTTCCTGAGGGCACGGGGGTTCTACGCAGGTGTATCCATGTGACTTCTGCTGGACCAGGTATTAGGCCTTTGTTCTGGGATTATGAAGAGGGGGTAGGGGCCCCATGTGACTTCTGCTGGACCAGGTATTAGGCCTTTGTTCTGGGATTATGAAGAGGGGGTAGGGGCCCCATGGGGCAGCAGCCAATGATCAGCTGGTATGAAGTATTCCCACACTGTGGCCACCAGCTCAGCCTCTAACATGACACACGACCTACTCCACAGTAGGAGCTCAATAAAGATTCGCTGACTGAATGTTCTCCCTTTCTGAGGTACCTTTAAATGGATGATATGCCCCTTGGAGACGATGCCCATGTCTTTCAAGTCTTCCTCCTCGAGAAGAAGCAGTCGCTTTCCTGTAATGTTGTTTTCCTTAAACAAGTTCGCGTATATGCTCATCTCCTCTGAAGTGTCACCTGAAGGGAGTGATTAGAAGACAGAATAAAATTAGACTCAATCACATCCCAAGCAAAGTTAACTCCATGAATTAAGAAGGTAAGTTTTTCCACTTGCCTTTTCTGACGAGCTGCTGAACCCAAAAATACTGTGGAAGAGAGGACATATATGGTTTTGAAGATTCATTCACGGTCAGTGGCCAGACTTAACAGTAAAACACATGGTTTTTCAATGGATTAAAATACCTTTAATTTTTGCTAAACCACAAAGGGAAAACAGAAGACTTTCTCTTTACTGTTTTAAAACTTCAAGGTTTCAAATTGGAGACATCCTCCCTTTGGGGGTCTTGGACCCTTGAAGGACCATTGGTTTTCCTCCTTATTTGAAAGATATTTAAAAATCCTTTCAAGAAGATTCTTACTTATTATGCTTTTTCCATTCATGTGCCAGTGGTCCCCTGGGTTGTTGAAGGGCACTGGTTTACCCAGGAATTGTATGAGTGAGAGGGACCACACGGCAGTGGACAGAAAGATGGATAAAATACGTCCTCTGTTCTAGGCCTGGTCATGAAGTAGCTTTGTGGCCCAAGACAAGTTAAAGTGTGGAGCTTCCTACACAGAATGAGGTTGGACCCAGCAACCTCAATCCTTGAATTTCCCTTGGCGTGTGTTTACCGTAGCCTCTCACACTATCCAGGTGAAGGGAGACAGAATGGGGGGCCACACCCAGGCCCACCAATTCTCTAGGGAGCCCTTGACCCTGGAATTTTATTTAAATGCTTTGAAAACCACTCAACCTCAGAGCAAAGACTAAAAATAGCTTTTAGAGCTCAGTGCCTTTTGAAACATTTCTTCTCAAATGAGAAGGGCCAACTTTGCAGCTGGGGATAAAGGGATTATATGGAGGCCTGTGAAGAGGCGAGCCTAAGTCCTCTGTCCTTGTTAAGCAGGGCTGGCAGGAAAGTTAGAATCACCAGGACTCAGGGAATGGGAAATAGAGGCAACTGGTACCAGCATACTTCCCCTGCAGAAGCCACAGAGATGAGCTTATCTGAAAGCAGTATTACTTCACCAGAAGACCAAGGGCTGGGAGCATATGCCCTGGCCCAGAAACCAGTTGAGTCTGGTAAACCTTCCAGAGACCTTCCCAAGAGTTTCTAATAATGAGTTTGACTTTGGGGTACCTAGTCTATTTCCTGGGGTGTGGGCCTGCTGAGGCTGGCATACAAACTTTTATTTTTTCCTTTTTCATTTAATGAAACCTTGAACTTATAAAATGCACCTGGACAGGCAAAAACCCCTGAGGTCTCTGACCAAGAATTCTTGGACCTGTTTTTCACTGAAGGAAATAGACACAGAAATATAACAGGCTAAGCAGGATTGCTCCTCAGGGTCTCCACCCAGACTGTAGGGTGTGGGATTTCCTTTGGACTTAACTAGTCTGTTCACATCTTCCCCCAAACATGGGGCTTCTCCGGCTCCCGCTTCAGAGAATGTCTGGGAGCTTGGGTCTATTCCTTCTTGGGAAGGTCAGAGTAAAGATGGTAAAATGAACAGGGCTAAGGCACTGCCTCTACCAGTTCTTTCCCCACCATGGTTCAAGTCCATCCCTGGTCTTTTGGGAAAACTTAAGATCAATTTTCTTCCAAGTATGTTCATTTAGTATCCTGGATCCCCCCTTTAACTGGTATTCATTACTGTATCCTGGAATACCTTTCAGAGCAAATAGGGAGGTGGAATCCTCTTGTAAGATTTGAAGAGATACTTGCTTTGCTCGAGGCCTTATTTTAAATCATTACTGCATTAAAAATAGAAAGACATGGAATTTGTCAACTTCTCCTACTTAACACTTTCCTAAGGCCCAAACCCCTCTCCCTGTATTTTTAACTTGTGGACAAATTTATGAACTACCTGCCCAGGTTAAATGAGGCATTAAAAGAAGCTGCTTACCACGTCCTCTTCTGTCCAAGCACCAATCTCAAAGGAAGGCAGCAGCTGCATGGGAAATATGAATGAAATGGAAAAAAAGAAGGAATATTATCACTGCCTTTTTGGTTTATCCCCACACTTTTCAATATTTTAGCTCTGGGCAGCTAAAACCAAGCAGCTCTGGCTTGGTTCCTCCTGCAGGTGGCATTGAATGGAAACCAGTTTTCCCAACCGTTAAGGAATTTCTCAGGGTTCCAAAGATGTTGCCCACAGAAGCCAAACCACCTCTCAGTAACAATTCATTGTGCTTGGTGAGCTGTGACAATGGGACTCTGCACATCTTGGGATTTTCCACTCATTGTACTTGGCACACTGAGAGTAGCTTTACCTCCCATGAGAAGGCCTTGGCAGTCAAGGAATTTCTGACGTTTGTCAGATACCAGAGCCGTCTTCGGAATTCTCAGTCAACACGAAGATCGTTTGATCATTAATGAAAATTCCAAAGCAACCACTTGGTAACCAGATGTTTTACATGCTTATTTTTAGAGGGGAATTTCTAAGTGTTTAAATGTCTCCGTTGCACTATATTTTTAAAACAAAATATTAGAAGGACACGTAAAATTGGAGCCGTCCTAAGGAACCCAGGTTGCAGAGTTGCTCTAACTAAAACTAAACTAAACTAACCTCCCTCCCTGGCAAGTATACAAACATGAACGACAACTTTGCAAGAGGACTCCTGCCTGCCCAATTTCAGAGCCAAAGGACTACTGGCTTCAATATATGCTCCATGGCCACAGACTAAATAAACACCTACGTAACGGGAAGAAAATCTGTGTCTTGTGACTTGAATTAGTTTGCTATAGCCATTAGTTTTAACCAGCTTCACTTGCCAACATGGTTGGATTGCTCATGAGGCAACATGGCGAAGTGTCTTTCAACACGTGTTACAAATAGTATTTTTTGTGCGAGTTGAAAAATAAAGAAGTTGGATTTGGTTACTTTTACCATTAGTGTAAACGTCAGAGGGTGGGTGAGTTAACCCTTCTAATCTGCAGGCATTTTAAATTCACACGCTCAAAACCTTGCTAGGAAAGGCATGCCCCTGCCTTCAAGGAGCTTTTAATTTAAGGTGGGGGGGTAAAGTAGGTATGGGCTATACCTTGGGAGGAGTTCAAGGCCACCTTCATTTTAGTTTCCTCAGTGCCCATCAGAGTGCCTGGCACACAACACCTGGTAAATTTTTGTTGAACAGTTTGTTGAATGAGTAAAACTGAAGGGTGCATTTACTATGATGCTAAATTCTCTGGTATAGAGTTCAATGTCTATGGCTATACCACGGAAAAGGGAGGGTTTCATAGACTGCCATGGGGGATGGAAGGCATAGTGGCTTGAGCTGGCACAGCAGGGCTAGAAGAGAGGTGACTCCTGGTGAGAAGCAACAAGGCAAGACACTGGCAGTGGTGGAGGCGGGACAGGAAGGAAGGATGGGCACGGCACGTTTGCTCAACGGGAGCTCCAGATACAGTGTGCGCATGTCCAAGGATCAAGAGGAACTGCAGCCAACTCTAGGGGGCCAGGCAGATTTATTTTAAAAACCCACTAGTTACAATAAATCTGAATGCATAGAGTTTGAGACGTACAGATAAGTTGCAAGGGTATAAATCGCTACCACTCTATATGCACTCCGCTGCCCTCATGTGCTCCGATTCCCACAGGACTGCGCCTTCCCTCCTCTGAAATACCTGGTGTTTGTAGTCACATGCACTCACCTGCTTTCATAATGCAGAAACGAAAGTGACTTGATAAACAGGATCTAAAACTGAACTTGATCAAAGAAAATACATGACAAGTTTTATTTCTTCACGGGGCAGCTGGATACAGCTGCAGAAGCGTCATTTGCTTTTCCCATCACAGAATCAAATGTGAAATAAGGAACTTGTTTGATTAGTTTAAGAAACAACAGACTGCTTTACTTTACAGAGCCTTTTAAGGCTGCATCAAGGCTGGCTTTTAGAAGGAGTGAGGGTGTATGGAATGATTTGATTTGTATATAATTCCCAAATGTTGTGCTGAACAAAATTGATAAGTATTTCTTGAATAAAGGTTGTAAAGGAAACAACTAATCAAAACCAACATCTTTGGTTTTCATGTCCGAAGGAGAGGAGAAGAGTTGACTTGTGCTCTGAGGGTGGCTCACCAAGACGACGCCAAGGGAAAGGCGCTGGATTCAGTGTGAGACTTGCTCCAGCAGGATTCTTGCATGCTGCTTGCAAAGATTAGTGAGAGGAAGGCTGGAGCCAGGCACTGCTTCAAGACGGTTTGAATTTGGCAGAACAGGGGAGAAGAGTTAATATCTCCAGCCACAGAGTGGCTTCCTATTTCCTCTATGTCTGCTGTACCTTGTTAACATTATCAGTGTATCTGCTATAGGGTGAGTTCTAAGCTTTTCTGTCTCTCTTTGGGGATTAAAAAAAAAAAAAAAATCCACCTTGTGACTGCCCCATCGCTTTACAAATTCATTATTCACACTCCAATTGATTTCAGGAGAGAAGCTCACACTCATGGTCATGTGCGTGATAATGATTCCTTCAGAGGTTGTTGGGAATCCAACCTAACAAAGCTCTGATATACACAATAACACATAACAAAGGGATTTACTGTCAAAACGTTTATTGCAAAATGGAGTCTTAAAACAAAGGAAAGCAAAGCAAAGTTCACATCAAAATGAAATGTATGACACCAACTTGGATTTCTGAATACATTGTGGACTTTGTGTTGGAATATCAAATTCCAACAATGAAGTCAATAACTGAGTAGTCTTACCGCACAAGAATAAAATTTAATCTTCCATACAAACATGATACACGATTTTGGCATAGGACTTGCTCAGGATAACATTGCGATAGAATAATTGAGAAAAACGTTTTGTTAAAAAAAAAACCAATAAGGTGATGCCATCTATTCAAAGCTCACACTCAAAGAATATAAATATTTTCTATCATTTAGTACAAAAATTTTAAAACAGTGCAAAAGCAATATGTGCAGTGTATTGTATCTGACATTAAAAGGTCTATTATTCTGCACACAATATAAAATAGTTAATGTAGGTGCCTGAAACTCTAGCTCTGAAGTAAATAATCACATGCCAGAAAGCTCCTCACAGGCAATAGAGTGCAAACTAAGCTGGAGTCTGAGGAAACATAGCTAGTCCTCCAGATGTCCTGGTAGACGCTCATTTCTCATCAGACAGGCTGCATCTACAGCTATCAGGCTATGTTACAATCAAAAGAACAGAACAGATTCTTCTCTCTGGAAATGCTTAACATCTAAACAGGAAAACAGTCTTACCCCAAAGCAGCAAAAGGTACCTGATTATAGAAAAATTATGCTTTATTATGTATGCGGTACAGTAGACTGCTAGTTTCAAAAGGCAGCAACAAGTCTAGTGTATCAAAAAAAAGGATCAAGATTTAACTCAGAGTAAGTTTTAAAATTATCTCTCATGAAGTTCTTACCACTCCAATGAAACCTCTGAAAAGCAAAGTTGTGTACATCGTAGTGCCATGAGAAATCGTTTTAGATCTCTCCCAAACCTTCCCCCACCCCAATTCCTTGATTTTCATGGGGATCAAGTTTGAATTCCCCAGCTGGTGTTAAAGTCTAACAAATCTACTGCATATTAAAAATCACTGGCTAATAAAAAGAAACGAAATTGAGTTATTTGTAGTGAGGTGGATGGACCTAGAGTGTGTCATACAGAGTGAAGTAAGTCAGAAAGAGAAAAACAAATACCGTATGCTAACACATATATATGGAATCTAAAAAAAAAGGTTCTGAAGAACCTGGGGGCAAGACAGGAATAAAGACGCAGACGTAGAGAACGGACTTGAGGACACAGGGAGGGGGAAGGATAAGCTGGAACAAAGTGAGAGAGTCGCATGGACATATATACACTACCAAATGTAAAATAGATAGCTAGTGGGAAGCAGCCGCATAGCACAGGGAGATCAGCTTGGTGCTTTGTGACCACCTAGAGGGGTGGGATAGGGAGGGTGGGAGGGAGACAGATGCAAGAGGGAGGGGATATGGGGATATATGTATATGTATAGTGATTCACTTTGTTATACAGCAGAAACTAACACACCATTGTAAAGCAATTATACTCCAATAAAGACGTTAAAAAACAAAAACAACAACAACAAAACTGATCTGAAAAGTGAATTAAAAGCTGTATAATTAAGATCTTCATTAGAAATTCTGCCTATGGCTGATAAATATTTCTTTTTAAATTTAATAAGGCTAATAATAGAGTCTAAAGTCTTCTAAATCATCTTCATAGATCAAGTGAAACCACTTAAGGATTCTGTTTATATGATGCAGATTTCAGGGATGTTCAAAACCCTAGAAAGACACTGACTTGGAACAGAAAGTAAAATAGCCAGTGCCCTATAGTAATTACCTATAGCCCAATTTTAGGTTAGAACATTGCAAGCGTATCACTGAGGTTATCAATTCTGCTGTGTCCAAAATCTCTGCAGTTTCTTGATGGCAGAGTATTGAGCTATGACCATCTCTGGAATTTCTGTGAGGAAAATGGCAGCAGTCGAGAGATTAGAGAAATATTACCTGAATGATGGTAAACCTAGGTCTGGGTTATTACCTTTCTCTTTTGGCCTTATTTGGCTGCTTTTATTAATGCACCAAAACCTTATGTATAATCCTAATAGATCTAATTATTATTATACATTTTTATTTAATGTAAATTTTTTAAAATGTCCATCCCATTCATTTCATACGTTCTAAATTTATTTCCGGTTATTCTCAAATGAGAGACAAGGTTTACACTCTTTTTTTTTTTTTAAGGTTTACACTCTTACATAAGGTGCACAGATCCCAAAATCAGCCCACAGAGATTCCATTATGGGTAAGGCCTTTCCTGACCACACTTTAAAGTCCACAACACTCCCCTATGGGCCTCATCCTTCCCTGCTTCGTTTCCCAGCGTGCACTTATCAAATGTTTACTACATGATGCATTTGTTCTGTTTGTTGTCCATCTCCGCTTGC